CTGAAGATGTTTCGCCAAGCAATTGTGTCCGGTACGTAGTCGAAACTCAGCAACGGCTTCGATTCTTGGTCAGTCGGAGAGTACCACTGCTCATTGTTTTTCCTTTGTTCGAGCTTTAAGTTCGTTGCAACTTGAGGTCTTGAATTCTCTCCAGATAAAGGTCTACATTGTGTGGAAAGACAACGGCCAGTCTATGCCTTGCAAAATTGTTGTCCCCTTCTTAGCAAGTGCGTCAGCAAGCTCATTGCCGTTAATGCCACAGTGACCAGGAATCCATTGTAGGACCACTGTTTTATTTTTCTCTCTCAGCAGCTGATAGAGTTTTCTACATTCCTTTATCTCAGCTGTTTTGGGTGGCTTTTTGTTTCCAAGTGAAGTTATTTCTGACTGCGAGTCCAAAAGAATTACTGCTTTGGTGAAGTTCGTATCCAGGCAGCACAATTGGCCCAGTGCTATCTTAATAGCCTCCATTTCTCCTCCGAATGAGGATCTATTGTGTCCCACCGGTGCGAAGAAATAGAATAGTTCAGAGTAAACACCTGCACCAACGTTCGCTTAGTTTTCTATGTATGACCCATCAGTGAAAAACTTTGAGCCATTGACCTGCAGGATAGTTGACATTGATTGTCTCAAGTTCTGATGAGCGCATTTGCTCTGGAGGGGTATTTGCAGACGTTGATTAAATCAATAGCATGAATGAAGCATATTAATTGGCGATGCTTTTACTAGTAGCTGCATTAATCGTTATCTACCACCAAGATAATCCATCGACGATTTGAAATAGAAGTAGAGCTCGATAATGCTAATCAATAAACTATAGCACCTAAAAATATATATCCACTATATTCGAGGTAATCAAAATATAACAATATTTGAATAAAGCAGTAAGTAAACGTTACCGTGGTTATTTCAAATTAAAATAAATATCACTTCCTGTTGATTCAAGCAATACAACTTAAAAGAGAACCTGAAAATCAAATATGTATGAAAGAGCTACCTATCGTAAAGTGGAAGATGAACGAAAACCTGGCCAACGCCAAAAAACAAGACTCCACTGGACTGATGAAACAAAAAAAGTAAGGGTTGAATTTGAGCAATTAAGTGTCGCTATGATTAAAACAATAACCCGTTGATATACGTGTTTCAGGTACACAAGGAAGCATTGTTACTAAATGTGAAGGTGACTTTCGTAGAAAATTTAAAAGTTAAAATTTTGCGCCTTATTTTAGGAGTGACCTAAGAGCACCGAATAAATAAACTTTCATTGTGAATTTTGTCATTTTTTTCAAGCTGTGAAATTTTATTTTAATTTCAGCACCGAACAAAGGACAAAAATAATACGCAACGCATGACCTATTTCTCCATCTTCACTCGCATTTTATGGAAATGTCACTGGACAAATTGCTCGAGATCAAATCTTTAGAAGCGAAATTCCCAAAGGAGAGAACTTTGACCAAAAGTACCATCTAATTCATTAGCAGAACCCATTAATAATGCATTAATAAGATGGTTGACTAAAAATTGCAATATAGATCACCTTAAAGTTTGAAGGAAAAAATCAATATAAAACTCCAGTATAAACTGTTAAATAGAGTATTCACAACAAATGCAACAATTAAAATAGGTGTGCTCGAACAAATTAATTCAAGTTTTGTATTTAATCATTTTTTTCATTGGCCAATCTCTAACTTGATATGTATATTCTGAAGATTTGGATCCTATGCACAACCAAAATAATCAGGTAGGACAGTTTAAAAATGAACCGGGGTGCGAAAACAGGCAGGTAAGAATGTATTGTGTTACTTTTGTCGTCGAAATTTTGAGTCAAGAATACCAGCATCACTTAATTCTTATTTAAACCTATCACAATTTTAAACGGCTATCAAAAATAGCGATTGGCTCAATTAAAATGAAGACGAAAATGGTAGTTTTAAGTTATTAAAAAAAGTCCTTTTGAAGAAAACCACAAGTTGGTTAACTGATTTAATTCCAATAGAAATTCTCATATGCTGAAACATACAGGTTAATGGCCATGGCAACAATACTTTCTATTTTAACCTAAAAAATTACAGAAGCCCTCTATCTAATGCATAAAACTTGAGAAAATAGTTTCGTTATTGATTTGATGAATTAAGATGGCCATTTTGTTTTGCAAAAAAAAATTATTTAGTCATTTGCCATAGGCGTAAATTATTCAGAGCAACGAATGAAGACACGACCTGAATTTGAGGCCAAAACACCCGACTTCCAAAAGAGTGAGTGAATACCTTAAAGCTCCAATCGCCGCAAAAGGCTGGTAATTTTGCAAAGATTTAATGATACAAATAGTTTTGCCCAACTAAAAATCACTTAATGACCAACCATCAGCCGGAGTTGATTCCGACGCCGAAGCTGACTCGGCAGTTTCCACTTGTGGAATGGCTGAAAGACCTGTGATGCTCGTGCAAAGATCCGAATACCTCGCCTTGTCGCCTTCCCGAACAAATACGATGAAATCTACAAGGAGAAAACAAAGGAAGGTAGAATGGAGAAAGGTGAAATAATATGCGAAATCTAATTGTCTTAACAAATTTGCTGACAATAGTACTCAGTTAGAGCATGCGAGCTGTTGTGCATCACTAAACCACACGTGGATACAAGACGATAGAAGTGAATGAATATGACCTTGACGCCGGTTAAATCAACTAAACTGTCCGATAGACAAGGGGCAAAAAAACAAGGACAACAAATTAGCGATCAATGAATGAAAAGTAAACTTAAGACATTTAATAAAAAAGTGTGTCTTACTACATCATCATAATGCATTATTACTACACATATTCAACTGCAATTCCAAAATTTAACTATAGCCTTGAGTAGGACTAATAATTACAGCAAATATTGTCATCTGTAAATTACAAAAAGAGCTTTGAGCAAAAAAAATATTTTTAGGCTCCACTAACAAAAGATATCCCCTGAGAACGTGGTCTAGACTACAGAAATAAGCCGCCAATTCTGCAAAACTCAGAAGAGTAAAAACTGAACAGTAATTAAAGAGAAGGAGTGAGGGAGAGAGCAAGGAGTGGAGAGAACAGAATCTACCAAGGGGTAGACCAAATTTTGGCAACGCTGAATAAAATTATTCGTTTTGTCAAGCCAGGCCAATTTGATGATGTGCTTCCATAACAGAATCAGAGGGCAAGACAATTAGGAGAGATGATAAATAGAAAGGCAACACACGTGCGTTTTAGCACTCACCAGGTCTTAATAGGAAAAATAAAAGTTTTACTATAAACTTGCTGAGCTAACGTACTCGTAGAATACATATATAGCTATATATTATTGCAAAATAAAAAGCTTTTAAAGGAAAGCAGCCTTCAAAAATCTCAAATATGGGAAAAATTAGAGGAGAGTTAATGCAGTTACTTGTTAAATTCCCAGTAGAATAAATGTCAGACCAAATCAAAGCGGACGTAACCCCTATTATCCTATTCTTTCTCTCCCTCACTCTCCCCTTCTTTGCTAATTAGCAGAAGACGTATCTTGACCTACAACTACGAGGCGCAGGAATAATTAAAATTGACAAAGAAAATGACCAAAAGCGCCCGAAACCTGAAACCTCAACAACAGCAGCAGCAGCAGCAAAGATGACTGACAATGTTTAGACATTGGAAATACTCTTCCAACAGTTCGCTTCCTATGGGATTGAGAACTTGAAATAAATAAAAAAACAACTCGAAATTTTTTATTTACTTGTTTATTTCAAATGGCAGGCGTTTTGATAGTTATCATTAGCCCGTTTTTGACTTCAGGCCTCACAGAGGGGAAGCAACATCAAAGTGGAAAAAATTCTGGGGGGGGGGG